GTTATTTACATTCAGCCTATACAGTCCTCCTATAGACTTCATCTCTAGAATACTTACATATCATCTCATGTAAATGCTACGTAAGTAATTGCTGTAGTGTGTTATTTAGGGAGAAATGACAAGAAAGTTCAGTATTTTAAAATATTTTCAATACACAGTTGGTGTAATTAGTGCATTTAGAACCTTACAAGGATAGGGTGGGTGGCCTGTATTTCCCAACTTCCTTCTACTTTCCCTTGTATATAGAATAATCTAGTGTATCTCTGTCATAGAGATTTTGTAACAGAGTGGTAATCCATGCAAAGCAGTGAGCACAATGCTGCATGCTATTTATTAAGTTAGACTAGCTAATAGCAGTAGCGAAGGCTGCAGACAGTGACCACTGTGCATGCTGCTTCCCTTATTCATTGCATTAGAATAAATAATGCCTTCTGTTATAATGTTCAAAGCTCAGACAGTCTTGGAATCCATAGCTTTTTATGGTCCTGGACATTGAACCTAGGGTCTCATACTAGGCAAGCTTTCTGCCACTGAGCCACATCCCTGCCTGCAAGCCATTTTCACTACATACTGTAGCATTCTAAATCATAGCGCTGTGTCTCTTTTAAATATTAATTAAGCTTTTGCTCCAGAGTAAACATTTTCTTTCTCCTCTTGTACTGAATATTTTCTTTCCTTTTTCTGTTTGTTGGTTATAGTACTAGGGAGAGAACCCAGGAAAACTTTACCACTGAGCTACATTCCCAGCCTGAAATTTTTCTTAAGTAGTTTTAAAATTAAGTTATTTGAACTGAAATTAAAATGATTTTTTATGACTTGCCTCTAGGGAGAACTGTGAAGTAGAAGTAGCAATGATTATAAGTGGCATTTTGGCAATGTAGTCTTGGGACTTGTAAATTCTGGGGAAAGATTTATGAAGCTCTCCAGCCTAGCTGCAAATTTAATAGAAGAGAACAAGAAAGAAAATAATAATCATCTATAGTTATTTGAAACTTGGGAACAATATAGATTGAGATAAAATTATAGAGGTTTCCCTTTTAATGTCTGCATTCTTACTAGTTTTTGTCCAGGTTCCAGTAATCAGCTAGGTTAGACAGGGAGAAATACTTTGGTTTTATTTGGGTGAGGACTACATCAGTGAATTGCACTTGACATGCCTCAGTCTCTTTTCAGTGGATGACTTTGAATAAGATTCTTCACCTGATTCCTTGTCTTTCAAAGGATAGAGTGATGAACTTTGTTCTTATCTTGTACATAGGATTGTTGCAGCAGAAAATGAAATGGTGAAAATTATTGAATTCTAGTCTCAGTCTCGGTAGAAGACTAAGTGCTTAAGCTGAGCTCTCCGTAAATGTTCATTCTGGGTTAGATTTCATGTAAACTAATCACCTCTCAGGAAAGGGACAAATGTGTATGTTTTGCTTTGGACATTTTATATGATATTTGCTTGATTGCTTCTGGAGGAGTGTGATCCACAGTATAATTTTTGAGTCCCGTACTTTTTGTTTTAAAACTGATTTTACAGTTTAAGCAGCTAGCATATTTAAGGAAAATACCTATTTAAGAAAGTACTTCATGGGGAAATGTTAAGATACAAGATGTTGCTGAGCACTTGCACCCCTGTAATCCCAGCTCTTGGGAGACAGGCAGGAGGATCACTGTCAGTTTGAGTCCAACCTGGGCTACACATTGAAGGGCCAGCCTGGAAGACAAAGCAAGACCCTGTCTCAAACAAAACAAAACAAAACAAAACAAAAAACAAAAAATGTTAAGGTATCTTCCCATAGTACACTTATTAATTACAAAAGGAAAAGAATACTGTTATAGTGGAGAAATGTCATCTTACTTGAGTGATCAAAGTTAATATCCTTACCAGTGGAACAAATAAACATTTTGGGCTTCTGGACATGAAATATTTCACTTTTTGTGGATTTGGGAATTGAACCCAGAGCCTTTGCCCTGCACTATATCCCCAGCTTTCCAGCCCTTACTGATTTTTTAAAAATTGTGGGTCTTTCTGAGTTGCTAAATTGCTCAGTTTGGCTCAAATTTGTAATCCTACCTTAGCCTCCCAGAGTGCTGGAATTACAGGCCTGTATCACCAGCCCTGGCTGTATGATTGTGTGTATGTGTGTGTTTTGAGGGGGAATTGAACCAGGGCCTTTTCACTTAGCTACATCCCTAACCCTTTATTCATTTACTTACTTACTTACTTACAGAATCTCTCTCTTAGAGGCTAACTTGCCCAAGCTGTGCTCAAAATTGTGATCCTTCTTGCTCAGCCTCCAGTATGCTGTCATTACAGGCATGTGCCACCATGCTCAGCTATGCAATATATTTTAAAGGACATGACATTACTTCTTTAGTATTCTTACCAAAAATACTTAGTGACTAATCATGAAGAAATACTAAATTTAAATTGGAGGGCATTCTATAAAACAAATGAGCTGTTCTCTTGAAAGTGTTAAGAAAGATAGATAGAAGAATGATAAGAAATGAAAGATAAAGAATGAAGAATTGTTCCAAATTAAAGAAGATGCTGTTCCAGACAAAAGGAACAGTCATTAAGAACCTGGATATTTGATGAATGAAACCAATCATCTTAAATCAAAAAATTTTTCTCATTCTTTTATGAAGAACATTAGTAAGATATTTGGGGAGAGGCTGGGTATTTTGCTCAGTGGCACTGCACGTGCCTTGTAAACACAAGGTCCTGAGTTCTGTCCCCTGTTCTTTTTGGTACAAAAAGAAAAAAGTTGTTTAGGGAAATTTCAGTAAAGTCTTTAGATCATACTTTCAAGGTTGACAGCATCAGGTTGCTTTCCTGTTCTACTTTTTAGAAGATAATCTTCATATATTTCAGAAATAAAAAGCTTATGCACTACAAAAGAAATCACCAACAGAGCTGAGACAACCTACGATGTGGGGAAAAAATTTTGCTAGCTGTTCCTCAGACAAAGGTCTACATCTAGAATATATAAAGAACTGAAAAATATCAGACCCCCCAGATATAAAAAGACCCACTTCAAAAATGGGCATCTGAAATGGACAAAGAAATAAAAGCAGCAGATAAACATATGAAAAAATGTTTAACATCACTGGTCATTGGAGAGGTGCAGATGAAAACAACGCTAAGATTCCACCTCACCCCAGAAAGAATTACAGCTATCAAGAAATCAACCAGTAACAAATGCTGGTGGGGTTGTGGCTAGAAAGGAACCCTTCTCCATTGTTGGTGCAATTGCAGACTGGTGCAGCCACTGTGGAAGTCAATATGGAGATACCTCAAAAAATTAGGATTAGAAGTCCTATTTGACCCAGCTATTCCTCTTCTGGGTATCTTCCCCCCCAAATGAAAAGAATTATACCCCAGTGATATATGCTCACCCATGTTTATAGTGGCCCCGTTTGTAATAGGTAAAACTTGGATACAGCCCAATTGCCCACCACCTGGATGTGCATGCGTGTGTGTGTGTGTGTGTGTGTGTGTGTGTGTGTGTGTGTTTAATAAAATGGAGTACTACTCAGCCATAACGAATGAGAAACTAGAGACATAGCTAAGTGGGTGCGCTTTGAAGTCATACTCTTTTTTTTTTTTAGCAATACTCAAGTGAAATTAATAAGACACACGTGTAAATCCTGAATTGTTTCTGTGATATAAAAAACTAAAAGTATAAATAAGGGTTTAAATGCGTAATTGATATTGAGTAATAGGAAGGAAAGGTCTAAAGGAGTAGGGGAAGTGGGAGGCGTAGGGGAAAGGTAAGGGAAAAGAAAAAATGTGAAAAAAGGAAAAACATGGAAACAAAGTCTTTGTAAATAAGGAATGGTGGAGAGGGTAAAGGGAGGGCAGGTGAATAGGGAAAAAAAAAAGAACCTAGATACATCATGTAAAGGTAGAAGATCCCAATGATGAATGTAATTGTATACCTAAAAAGTATCGATAAACTTAATGGGGGGGGATAAACAATGCAGTAGTTTGGGTAAAAGAAGCAAGTATGTCTGCCACTTTCAGACAAATTAAAAATATCAGGACAAAATGATAAATAGATGTTATTAAATATTAGAATTGGGGTAATGTGGCTTAAGTAAGGTTGGATGGAAGTTCTTTGTTTTATTTTTGCAATTTCCTAAGTCTGAAGTAATTTAAAAATAAAAGGTAGAAATAGTAGCTTACTGAGATTTGTCACTGATTTTTTACTAGGTTATAAAAACCCTCTGTGTGTCAGTTTTCTCAGCTGTAAAATGAGGTGATTGGACTAAGTTAAATTTTAAGGATACTTTCAGTTCTAAAATTTTGTGATTTTATAACCAGATATTATTAATAATTTATATTGTTCCTACAGTCATGCTTGAAGAGAACAATTATTATGAGAGTCAAAAATGATGTTTAAGCAAGGCTCTGTGGCAAGTGACAGTGTGGTATTCATTAAACTCAGATTTTTTCCCCTGCCAAAAAACTTTTATGGACCTTTTATTTAGGGCCGGGGATTTAGCTCAGTGGTTCGGTGTCGTGCCTTGCAAGTGCAAGGACTGGAGTTCAATCCCCGGTACCAAAAAAAAAAGAAGAAATTTTATTTAATTGTATATTTCATTTGTATGTCACTTCTTGGTTCATACTTAAGCATTAATGATATCTTACTATTATGGTTTTGGTTTTTTGTTTTTTTGGTACTGGAGATCAAACTCAGGACATTGTGCTTTTGAGGCAGGCACGGTTCCACTGAGCTAAATCTCTGACCCATTATTAGTACTTTATATCACTTATAAATGTATTTTACAGGATGCCCAGTGTAAGCTTGGTGATTAAGACTCAAGATTAGCAATGAATGTTTATGTGGTATAGATATATATTCTTTGCAGCGTAGGATTTTCAACATAAGAGTAGCAGATGATATAGACACTTAATGGAATTGTAAAGTATTTTGGGGTTATTTCTGAAAACAGAACTTTGTTAATCCTTTGTCTTCTGTCATCTACCCCTCCTTCACCCCTAACAGCTTGGCGATCCCGCTATTTTTCCTGCTGTAATTGTGGAACATGTTCCAGGTGCTGATATTCTCAATAGTTATGCTGGTCTAGCCTGTGTGGAAGAGCCCAATGACATGATTACTGAAAGCTCACTAGATGTTGCTGAAGAAGAAATCATAGATGACGACGATGATGACATCACTCTTACAGGTGTGTCTCCCTCTCACAGGACCTTCGTGCAGCACAGTTTTAAACCGTGTCCCAGTCCTGGAGATTTTGAAACATAAAAAATTTGTAACTTGGTTTTGAGTAACTTTATTACCTGCTGAATCTAGAGTCCTGTAGGAAGAAGAAAACTGTTTTCTGTCATCCTGTTTCAACTGTCCTGTTTCCTACTGGTTTCTCACCTTGTTTCTTTTTTCTTGAATGTATTGAAATGGACACAACAGAAGAGGAGGTATATCAGAGAAGTCAAACCTATTCAATTCACAGAGTACTTTTTTATATGTTTAGCACTGTATTCCCGAGAAGAAAGTGTTGTTTGTAGGAGAAGAGATAGGAATGCTCTTATTAACCGTTTCAGGACCAAAATAGTAGACCATGATCTGAGTATATGATAAGGTCTTGCAGATTTCCATCAGAACGAGTCAGATATCTCAAACTTGAAGAATTGACTATATAATAGATACTGAGAGTGAAATTTTCATCAGTTTTAGAAGTTGGCACATGCTTTATAGTTTTGTATGTTTATATTCATATATGTCGGCCATAGATAATTGGGAAATGTAGTTATTTGGTAGCAGTAATTTGCATATTTATTTTCAAAAGAAAACTTACCACAAATAGCTATAATGAAGTGCATCTATAGTTTGTTTTTGTTTTTTTGTTTTTTTGGTTTTTTGAGGCAGGGTCTCACCATGTAGTTGAGACTAACCTGGAACTTGCTATGTAGCCCAGGCTGGTCTCCAACTCACAGCGATCCTCCTGTCTCACCCTCCCGAATGCTAGATTACAGGCGTGCGCCACCACGCCCGGCCTATGTATAGTATTTTTGGTGGCAAGTATTGTAGCTGCCTTATTTTCAGCTTTACCTTAGCATCTAGCACAATGCTTACTGTAAAGATTTCTCATATCAGTAATGTATACTACCAGATACTAAAACTTAACTAGAGCAAGGACATATTAGTGAAAGATATTTGGATTATTAGAGTTGAATATTATGTCTAGATGAAATTGCTGGCTTGTTAAGATATCTTAGTTCTCTTCCAGAGTGGGTTATAGTGTGTCTTTGAGCAGCTCTGTGATAAGAAAGATAGGGATAGGACAATTTTAATGGTGTTAAATGCTATTTCAGATAGTGTATTTGTTTGCTAGAAATACTTTAACAAAGTACCATCAAGTGAGTTTCTCCAACAGAGACATTTATTTTTTTCGCATTTCTGGAAGCTGAAAGTCTGAGGTGAAGATGTTGGCAGGTTTGGTTTCTTCTGAGACCTCTTTCCTGAACTTGTAGATTAGAGTCTTCTGCATTTGTTTTCATATAGTCTTCCTTCTGTATACTTGGTATGTGCAAATGAATTCTTAGAAAGATGCTCTAAAGAGCTCATCTTAACTTAAAGGCAGTATTTCCAAGTACAGTCACATTCTAAGGTACTGGTAGTTAGGACTTCATTTTATGAGTTTTGAGAGCACATAATATAGCCCGTAACAGATGATATTAAGGAATTATTTATTATTGTTTAAGTGCTTTAAAATATGATGGTAGTTTGTGTTAGACTCCTTATCTTATAGATAGAACTGCTAAGTTAAGGCAGTAACGGTGTGATAGATTCCTTCAAAATAAACTTATGTGAAGGGTAAGGACTTTGGGCAGTGAGTGGGGCATGGATAACATCAGACTGACCATTTGTTGAAAATGATTGAAGATGGGAATGGACACATGGGGTTTCATTATACTGTGTTTCATAAATTTGATTTTGTTTGATATTTCCATGGCTGGGAATTTAGCTCAGTGATTCTGGCACCTGCCTTGCAAGCGCAAGGATCCAAGTTCGATCCCTAGTGTCCAAAAAAAAAAAAAAAAAAAAAAAAAAA